AGCGGCCACCATATATGAAGAACTGAAAGGAAAGGGGATTATTCCAGACCCGAGGCTTGTGAGAACTCCTGAAGATAAGTTGGACAAAACTCGCTACTGTGCGTACCACAAATCTCCAGGGCACAATACCGACGAGTGTCTCGGTCTTTTATCGGCACTCTTACGTTTAATCGGGCAACCCCAACTTCAAAAGTTTCGAAATTTTGATAATCGCCGGAAAGGAAGACCTTTGGATCTTTCAGACGATGAAGATGAAGATAACCGACCTGCTAACCAGAAGAGAGCTCGTGTAAACGATAAGGAAGTTTTTACGTTTTCTACTCATGTCGGAACGTCGACCGACAACTACAGGAAACTTAAGACACATGATTCTGCAGATTTTTCACGAAGTATACCCCGGGTCAACTCCAATAACAAACAGTTAGATATGTCTCGACGGAAAGTTAAAGCTTATGCTCGGGAGGCTCAGAATGCCGAGAACCGAGTCATGAATGTCGATCTTCGAGATACCATCAATAAACGGAATTGCCCCATTACATTTAGTATTGAAGACGCCAACTTGTTTGCTCATCCTCATTCTGATGCTCTCATCATAACTGCCCCAATTGGCGGAATTCCTGTTCATCGAATCCTGGTCGATACGGGAGCGTATTCGAGTATCTTAATGCTCCGTACTTTCAAAAAATTGGGTTTGGACCCAGCAGATATTAGGCCGTGTAACGATCAGATTCAAGGTTTCAATGGAAGCATCTCTTGCCCTGTTGGCGAAATATTGCTCCCTATTCGATTTGGAGGCTTTGGACCGAAGTCCAAGATTATTATGGAAACCTTCAAAGTTTTGGATGTCCAAAATGAATATGATGCTGTAATTGGGTGAACCGCACTTTATAAACTTCGTGTTGCTGTCTCGATTTTTCATTATGCCTTGAAGTTTCCCACCATTGAAGGAGAAGGCACTCATTACGGAGATCAACGAGAAGCCCGAAGTCTGATGCTGCTTTCAACCTCGCCTAACTTTCATATGATTGAAGGATGAGATGTTAATAGCTTTGTTGAGCCAAGTGACCCAATTCCTCGTACTGAGCAAGTTGATCAGTTCACCTCGAATACCGACATGCCTCAAGTACCGACATCCGATACCGACATCCCCATGACGTCGGTCTTGTCTGAAATATCAACAGAAATCCTTGGCCAAGAACAATCTTCCCATGAAAAAGACATAGAAGTACATGAGGATATAGACCCAAGGATGCACTTCAAAGATGGAAGTCATCATATCCGAGCGGAACCTGTTGAAGATATTGAGATCATTTACGTGGACGGGTTAGAACAACAGAAGTCGTTGCGTATTGGGGCCAATCTGCAGGAACCCCTTCGGTCAAATTTGATTCAATTCCTCCAGTCAAACACTGATGTATTCGCATGGAAGCATGAAGACATGAAAGGGATCGACCCACAGAAGGCATGCCATCGTCTCAATTTTGACAAAACTGTGAAACCGGTTATTCAGAAACGTCGGAAATTTGGTTCAGATCGCCAGAAGGCTCTTGAAGAGGAAGTAAATAAGCTCATTGATAACAAATTTGTTAAAGAAGCCAAGTACCCGACGTGGATATCGAACCCTGTTCTAGTTAAGAAAGCAACCGGCCTTTGGCGTCTTTGTATAGATTTCTCTGACTTGAATCAAGCGTGCCCGAAAGATAGCTATCCCATTCCACACATCGATTATATGGTAGACGCTACGTCGGGACACCAACTTATGAGTTTTTTGGATGCCTATTCAGGCTACAATCAGATTCCCATGCACCCTGATGATGTTGAACATACCTCGTTCTATTCAGCCTGAGGCCTTTATTGCTACGTTATGATGACTTTTGGATTGAAGAATGCAGGGGCCACGTATCAGAGATTGGTCAATAAGATGTTTGCTCGTTTAATTGGCCATACCATGGAAGTCTATGTGGACGACATGTTGGTGAAGTCGGAACAGGCCCCCGATCATATTGCTCATCTCTCCGAAGTCTTCGATATACTCCGAGAATATTCCATGGTACTTAACCCCAAAAAATGTACTTTCGGAGTTGGATCAGGGAAGTTTCTAGGATACATGGTGAGCCAAAGAGGGATCGAAGCCAATCCCGCCAAGATTCAAGCCATACTTGACCTAGCTCCCCCGACATCTCTCAAAGGCGTCCAAGCCTTAACTGGTCGACTGGCAGCTCTTAATCGGTTCATTTCGAAATCTACAGATCATTGTAAACCATTCTTTGACGCTATCAAAAAGAAGAAGCCGTTTGAATGGACCCCGGAATGCCAGAATGCTTTTGACAACATTAAACAAGTTCTCTTGCAGTTACCAACGTTGCAAAAGCCACTTCCCGATGAGCCTCTCTATTTGTATCTTGGTGTAAGTAGCGTTGCTGTTAGTGCTGTCCTTATACGTCAAGACGGACTCCAGCAGTTTCCAGTGTATTATGTTAACAAGGCCTTGCATGACGCTGAGTTGCGGTATCCGCATATGGAGAAGCTGGCCTATGCTCTGATCATTGCTGCACGAAAGCTGCGCCCATATTTTTTGGAGCACTCGATTGTTGTATTCACGACATATCCTCTCCGACAAGTCCTTCACCGACCTGACACGTCGGGAAGAATGATTAAGTGGGCAATTGAGTTGGGACAGTTCGATATACAGTACCGACCTCGAACCGCTATCAAGGCCCAAGTACTGTCCGATTTCATTGCTGAATTTACTCCCACTGTCGATTCATCCATTGAAGATCCGACGTGGACTCTCTACATTGACGGGTCGTCCAACGCTATGCGAGCTGGGGGGGGAATTGTCTTGGTTAGTCCCGATCAGCAAGTGTTTTGTTACTCTGTGGCGTTTACTTTCCCGGCCACCAATAACGAAGCCGAGTACGAGGCCCTCTTATCAGGATTACACTTTGCCGAATCCATGAATGTTTCCTCTCTTCGGATATTTTCCGACTCCCAGTTGCTAGTCAGTCATATCAACGGCACTTACGAAGTCAAGGAACCACGGCTGTTACCCTATTTTGATCTTGTTAAAAAGAAGCTGGCACGATTTAAAATGACGCTGGAGCATATACCTCGGTTATCCAACGCCCAGGCAGATGCTCTTTCGCGACTGGCCTCATCAACCGACTTGGATAATGTTGAATTTGTACAAATTACCCAACAGGCGACCTTGTCCACAGCCTCTACCGACGTCGTTATGGTTGATGCCGCCTCAGTAACCCTAAATTCTACATGGATGGACCCGATCATCGACTATCTTCGAACCGGGGCCTTACCTGAAGACTTGAAAGAAGCTCGTGCTCTCCGTGTTCGTGCTGCTCATTACACCATCAATGAAGGGACATTATATAAACGCGGGTATTCTACCCCATTGCTCAAATGTTTGTCGGAGAAAGATGCTCAACGAATTTTACAAGAAGTACATGAAGGAGTCTGCGGCACCCACCAAGGAGCTCAAACTTTGTCTCATAAAATTCTCCGGCAAGGCTACTACTGGCCTACTCTTCGAAAAGATGCTGCGGATTGGGTGCGGCGGTGCTACAAATGCCAGATATTTGCCCCCAACGTTAACCAACATCCTGAACTCCTCAAATCAATATATAGTACATGGCCGTTTGCAAAATGGGGAATTGACTTGATCGGCCCGCTTCCGACAGCAAAAGGAGGAGTTCGGTTTGCTATATTAGCTGCAGATTACTTTACCAAGTGGGTTGAAGCTGAGCCCCTTGCCACCATTACCGAGCAAAAAATGGTGGATTTTGTTTGGAAATCAATCGTTTGCCGGTTTGGGGTCCCCAACTCCATTATAACCGACAACGGTCGTCAGTTTGAAGGCAAACGATTTGAAAGTTTTTGTGAAGATTACGACATTAAGCATTTCTTCTCGTCACCTTATCACCCACAAGCTAATGGACAGATAGAGGCCGTAAATAAGATTATCAAGAATGGCCTGAAAACTTGACTTGAAGCTGCAAAAGGATCATGGCCCGATGAATTGCCTTATGTCCTCTGGTCTTATCGAACGACGACAAGAAATTCAACTGGAGAAACTCCGTTCTCGTTAGCTTATGGAACTGAAGCTGTGATACCGGTTGAACTTGCCTCTCCGACATATCGGGTCACTCACTTCTCCGAAGAAACCAACCCAGCAAACTTGAAGAAAAGTCTCGATCTGCTCGATGAATTACGTGCTGACGCCGAAGTTCGCAATGCTGCTTATAAACGACGTAGCGAAAAATATATAAACTCGAGACTCAAGCCACGTTCGTTTGTTAAAGGAGATCTCGTCCTGAAAAGAGTCACTGGTGCTCATGTCGGCCCGTTACAACCAAAGTGGGAAGGACCCTTTAAAGTAAATCGTCTAATCTCCAATGGTACTTACCGACTTGAAACATTAGACGGTGTTCCCCTTCAATATCCCTGGCACACGACATATCTGAAGAAATACTACCAGTAAATCTGATGCCAAAGGTCCTGTCCCCGACGTGTAAAAAAAAGTTTTTGTCCTACTGCTGTACAAGAATCATGTTTTTTTATCAATAAAATTTGTGTGACGAACCCCAGTAATTTGTTCGATCACTCGGACCACAATAAATCGGTCCTCGTTGCTAAGGCTAAACGTGTTTCATACCCTGAAGATGGTATGACCTAGCCGAACGCAGCAAAGCCGGATACTTCCAAGCCCTGAAGATGGTTTGGGGAGGCTTATGCTCGACGATACCGAATCCCAACGATGATTTGGTGAGCTTACAATAAATATTTCCAGTAAATAGCAAATCTTTTATGATTTGTTCGATTAAGGAGCTCGCAGATGTCGGATAAGCTATAAATTGTTTCCGATAAAGGCAAGTTTGATGTCGGAAGTGCTGTAAGATTATGCCGACGTCAGTAATTTGTATAAATTATTACTCTAATATTATGTCGGAAATTTTAAACTTGATAAGTATTTACCCATCTTCTCCGACATGATAAATCATTAAAACATGCGCGAAACAAATATCCCATTCATTAAACATTCATATTCCATTTCAAAACCAAATAACAGTACATTCTCAAAAGAAAAAATAAACAGCAAGACAATGTAAATACATCAATTTTCTTTAGTCCCCGACGACGACGCTTTTCCTGCATCAGAGAGTTGAGGATTTTCCATCCCAGCCTTGTCCTTCTCAACGCCATCCAAGTGCTCAATCAATCTTTGGCTTAGGCGTTGAACGACATCCTCTTCCTTCTCTTCCAGTGCTCGGACGACGTCGCTCTCTTTGATTATGACGACGTCACCATCTTCATGCAAGACACGATCATCGTCAGAAGGGACTGGGTCGATCACCCATCCCTTAGCCTTGGCATCATCCTCTGCCACCTTGCGCGCAGCATAACCAACAATTGCGCTTAAAAGCTCCTCATCCGATAGACCCTCAAATGTTTCAGTGACAAAAGCCTCAGCAATGGTCTCCACGCATATGTTAGCCATTTCAGGCTTCTTGGCCTTCTCCACTTCAAGGACCATGTCAACAAATGATCGCCTGATTTTCGCCTTCCGCTCTTCCGACAAGGGCACCATGTCCAGCTCTAACATCCGACTTTCCTTCTGCTTTAGAAGTCGGTCAGCAAAGTCCCTCTCGTCTTGGTCGGCCGGGATATGGGCATTCTTCATCTCAGGATTGAAGCCATACTTCTCCATCTTGTGAAGCAGATAAATGCGCAGCTCATCCATGGTATATACACCGCTATCAACCCTATCTATCACCTACCGTAAAGCCAAGGCGGCGTTTAACTCCAGCTCCCATTCTGTTGCCGCACCGGCGTCAGCTGCGTCGTCGGGCTCGGCTACC